AAAGCCACGTACTTCATTAAGAAAATTCAAATGGTCACGGCTTTAATATTCATATTATTCATTTGTTATGACGTCGGACACAAAAAAAGGTGTAAGCTTACAAATGAATTAATCACAAGAGTTAAATTAAATAAAAGTATGTTTATTTTAAAATCATTAACTATTAACAAATAGTTGTTAAGAAATAAAATATTTTTTAGCATATTAATTAAGCTGCCTTTTAAATCGGTATTGCATGAATGTGAAGGAGGAACTCATGAATTTTTGGAAGTTAACTGCATTTTAGTTGCACACATAGAGATATAAAAATAGAGTTTGCAAATAAGAAAGAGGCAGCGTCAGAAAGTATGAAAGAGAACACATTTTAAGCCACCATTCACGATAGTGTCTCGACTTCACGACCTCACGACTAGCCATTCACGTAACTCAATAAAATATAGACAAAACGGTGGCTTAGAATGCGCTCTCTTTCTTACTTTCTGACGCTGCCTCTTTCTTGTTCGCGCATTCTATCCTTATATCTCTATGTAAGCAACTGAAATTCAATAAACCTCCAAGAAACATCTAACCTTCTGATGCTGTCACTTGCAGGCCAGCATAGCCGTCGCACACTCTATCCTTTATCTCTATGGTTGCATAACGTAAAATTTTGTTAAAATGCTATTACAGTATATTTATATAAGCTTTGTCGGTAAGATGAAGTATACAAAGGTAGCAAGAAACTGAACTTATTACTAAAAAATGTTCAATTGTAAATTACCGAAATTCTTCAAGTAACGTCAGGAGATTTATTAAATATTATTTGAAGTATGATATAAAATTGTATTACTACCAACCAATGATGAATTGTGAGGTTAAAAAATCAGATTAGTTCTGATTTTTGTAAAACTGTGAAAACCGAATAGACTCAAGAAAATTTAGGATTTTTGACGTCATTTTACATGATAGTAATTTTTAATACGAGTTCAAATTTCAATTAATTATTATTACTTTAATTCACCAAATAAAAGAAAATCTTACACGCAGACTCAGAACACTATTTAACATTGAAAAATTATTAATTTAAAAAAAAAGCCAGTTTTTTAAATTGTTAATCATTTTACTGAAATTCAGCCTGTTTTCGTGCATTGAAAAGTTTACTGAGGAATACTAAGGACAACGTATTTTGGCTATAAGCTATAAACATATAATATATTTTTACATTAGAGCTTTCCCTGCGAAATAAAAGTTGAGCCTCATACTGATTTCTGGCAGAGTTGTGATAAAAATAAGAAGTTTACTGGGCCCAAAAACTTAATTTTGCCTTATAAATCACAATAAATTTTTATTCTGATCCATACTATATATTTTTTTTTAAAACTGACTTACTGTATTTTAAAAAATTTGACAATTCGGCTTTACATCCATTGAACTATAGTTACTGACAAATAAGTCAAATACTTCTAAAAAAACCTTAACGATTCAGAGGACCTGTACTGGCAGCAAAATCTCTCGACTCCCAGATTAGACCTATTATCAAAATATTAAGGAAAAGTTATTAATACACTAACTCATTAAGTATTGGAACTCATTCATTAGTAAGAGTGTTTTTGTGCGCAGTGTGACTATTAAGTAATGTTACAGGCTTAAGAAAGGTCATTAAATCATTGTTTATATGTAATAATTACTTTTCAAAGCAAAATGGGAGCAAGGTTCTAAAAGTTGAGCTTAACCCACTGCTTTTTTCGAATACTTGACAAGTTTATGAATAATAATCTATGAAGATAAATATTCATCTGTCACAAATCTCATAAGGTGTAAAAAGAAGCTATAGATTTATAAAAAAACTATTTGAATTTTATCTGAATCACAATAACACTTCAGTAGTAATTACTAATAACAATATGTTGCTAGGAAAAAATCTCCCAGCTATTTTTAATTGTTTATGTTGTAGGATTGCTTCCACGAAAGAATTGCACATGACTTAGAACCTTTGCAAGAACAATTGCGTCTCACACTTTTTTTTTTTTTTTGGAGGAATGTAAGAGTTTTCGTCTAGTAGGCATCCCAGAATCTCCAAAATCGCAAAAAGTTGTGGTCTTTTTCATTATCACGAAATTAGCTCTTAAATTACTAAGAAAATATAAACGATGACGTAAAAAAATTAAACACTATGCTTACTGCACAATTCTTAATTTCAAATATTGATAATTTATAAACTGTGTCCTGTTAAAAATATAGCGATAAATGTTCATATAATCCATAGATATAAGCAATTTGGCTTTCTATCTTACATCTTTGATGCTTTCAAATTTCATATTTTTAACTCAATAAGCATAAAAGTTATTTTAAATAAACCCATTGCTAAGTACTTTATCTTTGTCAATTTTGATAGCCAACTTTTTGTAACCAGACGTACTTTGTTGCTCTTATTTTTTCATGCATTTAAAACAAAGGAATTTTTTCTGTCAGACCAATTGGAGTCGAGATATATTATTTTTTCTTTCTTAGTTGTAGCAGCAACCCTAACTATTGTTTTGACTTTGAACCCAGTCCATTTCTTTTTTGAATGTTCTGTCCGATCGATTTTATCAACCTTTTAACAGTAAAAAAAAAAAAAAAAAAAAAAAAGTTAATAAAAATACGAGCAGAAATTGACGCTAGCTCCCACTGCTATCTAAAAGCACTAAAACAACGACGTTCAAGTCGACCAAAAACGCAAACTGAATATCGCATAGTACTTAGTCAAGTAAAATTAGCTGATTCATGGCCTAAAAAAACATGAAATTACGAACTTCACTTTTAAAATTCTTGTTAGATAATAACAACACAAATAACATTTTAAATTTGATCGCCAGTCCTAATAGGGCAAGATGGTTTTAAAAACTGGTAAAAATCGTCAGTCACATTTTTGCGATTTAGGAAAAAACTTCGAATTTGATAAATGAAGTGTAACAAAATAAAAAATAAGCAATAAAAATACGAATCTAATGGTTTTTTGAGCTCTGATTGGCTCAGTAGTTTCTTGGTAAAATGCAAAAAACCAATTTTTTGTGCCATTTTTTCGAAATTCTATAACTTTTGTTATGTTGCTTGAAGACATAAAGCTTCGACAAAATATGTGTTTTTGTTAATCGAAAGTTGCTCTACACCTTGCAATACCGTACCATTACACCCAGCCAACCCAGAGCTTGAAAATGCGGCTATATGAAAAATTTCGCAAAATTTTGACTAAATTTTTTTTCTCATTTCTTTACGTTTTTAAACGGAAAAAGCAATAATAATAATAATATGATAATATATTTACTAACAATTATGTCTCACATGCATACAAATAAAAACAGTAATAATACAGTATTTTTGAAATCCAGCATTTTAGGAACTTCGAAATAAATCAGAAACGAAGAACAACTAATTGATTAGACTAAGGAAAAATATTATTATATTATTATTATAATTGCCTTTTTAGGTTTCAAACGTAAGAAAATTTCTAAAAAATTTTAGCCAAAATTCAGCGGAATTTTCCTTATAGCCGCATTTCGAGCTTGGCAGTTCCTTACCATCACACCGCGGAAGCTCTTTTAAAATAAATCTTTTTCACACTTTAGCTGAGTATACTGGTGCGGCATTGCAAGATGTAGAGCAACTCTCGGTTAACATAAACACATTTAAAAAATTGGTCTACGTCCAAAACTTATTTATGGCCATTTTTCGGAAGGACCTTTTCAGTTTTTTCAAAGTTTTTTAAAAAGTATAACATCGATCTTGCTAAAATTTTTTATGGGTAGTAAGGCCTATAAACACATTTTCTGTTAAAGTTTGAAATCTTCATGTAACAGAACAAAAGTTATTTTATTAGTTGAGTTATGTAATTACGAAAAAATGGCACGAAAAATTGGTTTTTTGTTATTTACTAAAAAACTACTGGATCGATTGGAGCTCAAAAAAACCTATTAGATAGTATTTTAACTTTTCGCATTTTTTATTATATGACTTTTTTTGTAAAATGCACAGTTTTTCCGTAAATCGCAAAAAAGCGACCATAACGATTTTTACCAGTTTTTTAAACCATTTTGCTTTATTGGGATCGGCGTACGAACTTAATATGTTATTTGAATTGTTATTATCTGAAAAAAAAAGTTTGAAAAGTGAAGTTCGCCATTTGATGTACCGGATTTGCTAACTTTACCTGACTATAGCAGCGTGGTGCAGCGTTCACGTAGCGAAGATGGCGCTCCGGGTGTAGTCAGGCACCATTGGAACGCTCGGATAGCGGCGGGTAGTGACGCCAATTTTCGCACGTATTTTTATTCACTAAATCTTTTGTTTATGGCAAAAGGATTAATGAAATTAATTGAGAAAAATTTACGCTTATAAAGTTAACATTTCAGAAGCGAATGAGGCGAAGTCCAAATAATAATTAGGATTGCTGCTACGACAAAAAAGTGAAAATACCTTATTTCGATTCTCATTGGTTCTACAGAAAAAAAAAAAATCATTAAAAAATAAGTGTAACATAGTGCATTTAGTTGCAAAAATTTATTATTAAAATTAACGAAAAAAAGGTACTAAGAAATGAGTTTTTTTTAAACAACTTTTTTGTTCATTTCTTAAAAAACTTGAAATTTTGGGGAACCAAAGATATTATCTATCCCTATTCACGAATCCATATAAACTTAATTATCACTATAAAACTATAATTATATAAATAATGCAACTTGTAAGCAAAAGCATAGAAACAAATCATTTTTTGCTATTTGCTTGATAACAACTAAAGCCGAGATTTTAATTGGTCAAACTGTTTCTTTTTGTGACTGTAAGGCGATGTAAAAAGGTTCGAGTAAACATCAGAAATTTTTTTACATGCCAATGTTTATATTTGCACATACTCGGCTACAGGACGTAGGATGTTATAGTACTGGATTAGGTTTAATAAGAAAGTTAACAGCTTAATACTAAATTACACTATATAACAAAATAAGTTTATGAATATGTATAATAAATACGATCAGTATACTCACGATTTCGTTTTCTTTCGTTAACGCGGTCATCTTTTCTTGGAGTATTTGATGGTGCATAATTCAACTGCACATCCAACCGTTCAGATTCCGCTTCTTTTTGAATTTGATCTATTGTTTTCGGGTTACTATCATCTCTTCGTGGTATCCACTTATTAATTCTTAAATCTATCACATCTCGTAACATAAACCGAATTCGAGAACTAACTGTACCCTTCGAATCGGCTATTTGTTGCATTTGTTTAAAGGGACCAGAAAGGTCGTTACCTTTAGATTCTAAAGCTTTACCAATCGTCGTTAACAATTTACACAAGCTTTCAAGATTTTCTTCGTCATGTTGGAGCAACAAATGCTGAATACATTGGTGCATAATTTTACAAGTGAGCATATTTTGCTTAAAAAGTTCACCAACAAATATGATGTTTCCAACAGACTTAATACGCATTTTTCGTTTTTCTTCTTCTAAATTTATTTGCAATTCTTGTTTTTTATCTGGATCTAAGCATTCGTTAATTTCTCGAAGTTTTTCACTGTGAATATTTTCGTAAATGTTATCTTTTTCAAACTCAGTTTGACAACGTGTAAGAATGAGCTTCCTAAAGTTAGTATCTTTCGAGTCACCATTCGTAACCTGCATGTTAGCTAATTCTTTACACATTAATGCGTATGCTTTAGAAAAGTTTGGCTCATCTACTGCCTGAAATTTAATTGGAACGAATGACTTATTTAAAGAAAATTAATAACTGATAAGGTAAATATCTTAATGGCTTTATGTGACTGGTGGCTAAAAAGTTTTTATGCGCAATGGTAAGTACTTTATATAGTTGTATTTTGCAAGGAATATTTTTGGCCACTAATGAAACTAGCTTAATGTAGCTCAACAAAGTTAAAAATAATGTAATATGGTAGTGTATATCATTGCATTAAATTTTTCCAAATGTCGTAACTTTTTGAGCTGCTGAAAAATATTAAAATGTCAACACCATAATTGTTTTAATTCATGACGTAATTTTTACTATTGCAACTAACATGCAACAGTTGAGGTCAAATAAATACTTGTGCCACATCCTACAGTCAACAATTTATCATACATGCATACGTTATCATAAAAAAATGGACTGAATTATGAAAAAAAACCAATAAAATTAACTAAGAATTAAATGTGGTCAAGTATGCTTTGAAAAACAGAACTTTTAGTATTAACTAATGATTTATATTTTATTACTCATCATTTAAGCAGAGTTGCCGACCACAGTAGTCCGAATCATCCGATAAATGATCAAAAGTTCACCTTAACGTATTCAATACATTCATTTTTTTTTTTTTTTTTATAGAAACATGTTCTATAGTGATCCTACTCTAAGAATCTAAGTATCTCTGATTAAAATACCCGAGCGCTAATAATCTTGTTACAATTGTGAGATATGTAAAAAATTAGTTTTTAAATGTAAAAATTCTTTCCCGATAACAAAAGACTTTTAATTATATACTAATATTTACGTGTATTATGTAGTCTTTTGGAGAGTCATTCTATAGATTCCCTCTACTCCTCTATAGGTACACTTAAATTAAGGTAAGAATCTTTCAATTTCTTTATCATTTTAATTAGGGTAAACATTAAATTGCCCCCCTCCATCAACCCCCTTTCGAACACACGTAGGTCTCATCATTATTTTTTTTATTTTGATTTAAAATGTTTATTTTATTAGTTGAGTTATGTAATTACGAAAAAATGGCACGAAAAATTGGTTTTTTGTTATTTACTAAAAAACTACTGGATCGATTGGAGCTCAAAAAAACCTATTAGATAGTATTTTAACTTTTCGCATTTTTTATTATATGACTTTTTTTGTAAAATGCACAGTTTTTCCGTAAATCGCAAAAAAGCGACCATAACGATTTTTACCAGTTTTTTAAACCATTTTGCTTTATTGGGATCGGCGTACGAACTTAATATGTTATTTGAATTGTTATTATCTGAAAAAAAAAGTTTGAAAAGTGAAGTTCGCCATTTGATGTACCGGATTTGCTAACTTTACCTGACTATAGCAGCGTGGTGCAGCGTTCACGTAGCGAAGATGGCGCTCCGGGTGTAGTCAGGCACCATTGGAACGCTCGGATAGCGGCGGGTAGTGACGCCAATTTTCGCACGTATTTTTATTCACTAAATCTTTTGTTTATGGCAAAAGGATTAATGAAATTAATTGAGAAAAATTTACGCTTATAAAGTTAACATTTCAGAAGCGAATGAGGCGAAGTCCAAATAATAATTAGGATTGCTGCTACGACAAAAAAGTGAAAATACCTTATTTCGATTCTCATTGGTTCTACAGAAAAAAAAAAAATCATTAAAAAATAAGTGTAACATAGTGCATTTAGTTGCAAAAATTTATTATTAAAATTAACGAAAAAAAGGTACTAAGAAATGAGTTTTTTTTAAACAACTTTTTTGTTCATTTCTTAAAAAACTTGAAATTTTGGGGAACCAAAGATATTATCTATCCCTATTCACGAATCCATATAAACTTAATTATCACTATAAAACTATAATTATATAAATAATGCAACTTGTAANTTTTTTTTTTTTTTTTTTTTTTTTTTTTTTTTTTTTTTTTTTTTTTTTTTTTTTTTTCTAGACACGATCAGTGTATGGTAGTGCTTTATAATTTTTCAGAAGCATAAAGTGTAAGCATTTATAAATCGTCTATTTTCAAAATAAAACAAATTTTGAGTTTTGAAATAAGGGTAATTTGAGTTGGCCACATGATGTACGTCAGTACGTACATGTGTAGGTTATAATTTTTCGACTAACTAGTGTAGTTATGATCTAGTGAAATTTTGACACGTTTTCTCGAATGGAAAAATTTAGGCTACATTTTTAGTGCACCGCAAAAAAAAAAAAAAAAAAAAAAAAAAAATTTTAGCGATGAATTTTTAACATACATTTTAGACATCAACGATCAAAGACAGAGTAATGAAAAGTAGACACAAAAACAGCCAAAAACACGTTTTCTTCCTATCACAGAAATAAATTTGAAATCTACAACTAAGTGTTTTAAGAGTAAGACGACATAGATGTTTCAAAAATACACTTTTTTGGATTGACCAATTTTATCACTAGTATTTTTGTAATGCAGTTAATAACGAAAAACGTTTTAAAAGTCTGGGAAAGTGGTTTGTAGCATTTAAGTTTGTTATTTTTAAGTCGAAGATAGCATATTGACATTAAAAGTTTGTTAAGTATAATAATGGAATACAATTAAAATTAGATCCTGTACTTAGGAAGCGCTTTTTTCCACAGGAAGTAGCCTTATTCAAAATGATACACCGTAAAAGAGACCACCCTAAATGAAGGGTCTTTATTCATACGAGGTGCAGGCCGAGTACCAGGGACTCTTACTTTCGAGTATCGAAAAAAATCTATTATTCCAATGCATTAACGCTTGAATGCATAAAAGCCACGGTTCGGAGAATAAGATAGCACATCAAAGTGTCCAATTATGATATTTTTATTATTATTGTTAATGTATGTGAAAATTATTAAATCACATAAATCCACAAGAAATACCGTGCAAAAGTGTGAAAAAAAAATTATTAAGATTATACAACAATTTTTAATAAAAACATCGTAATTCACACTAAATTATCAATAACTACTGTTATAAACACGGTATCATAATCTTTTTTTGTTTAACTTGTGTGAAAAAATTCTATATTACGTAAAATTGACTGCAATATGTTAAAGTGTAAGAAGTCAGAGGTATATCGACATTTTTATGTTGTAAAATTCAATTTCATAAAAAATCAGGGTCAAAATTAACAAAAAAATTTTTTTCTAAAATTTTTCTAAAATTCATTTTGAAAATTTGATCTAACTATACTGTAAGGTTTAGGGCAGGGTGACATTACTATTAATGTTATAATCGTTGGGTGTGGTCAAAGATCTCCATGTACTCCATTCCAAATTTTTAGAGATTTGTATGAAAAAATTGAAAAAATTTAGAAGAAAAAATAGAGTTTATAAAAACAAATTTAATGTGTTAATAAAGTAACTTATCTTTCGGACGATGGAAAATAGAAAGAAAAAAAATTGTTAACATCACTCATCATTTAGAAAATTTTAAAATAGCAGCCAAATGACATTTTCCTACTTTGGGCGGTTTTATTAACCTTTGGTACTGATCCTGTAAACGCTATACGAATAAGTGTCCGTTTTTTCTATTGGCTGCTACTATCTTTACATAAAAAAGACAGGGGTTAAACTCACACCGTCAATAAACTGAAAACCGTTCGAGATTGACCGTAACGAGAATTGACGTATAGCATGCACTGTTTTACCGACAGTGGAAAAAAGCTATTTTAATAAATACATAATACTGCCACGTCACGGTAAATGAGATAAATCTCGAACGGAATTCAGTACATAGATGGTGTGAATCAAACTCAAGGACAAATCGTAGAAAGGAGCCAAGAGAAAACAGTGGTGTATAACTCGAAACACACATCGATGGTGTCACATTGGGATTCCAAAAAATCACGTTACTCTCGCGGTATATATAGTCTCTTGGGGGAAAAATAACACAGGCCTTACAGGTGCAATTCTTTTTATATTTTTTTTACACGTTTAACGATTGTAATACGATAAAAGCTTTTCAATAACGCATTTTTGAGGATATCAACAATACCTTAGCTATTTTTTCCCAACTCAATTAGTCTTTTGCAGCTTAAAACTTTCCTTTGAAAGTGCAAAAACGCACATTTAACCTTACCAAAATCCCGATTGTTTTCCTATACATAGTCGGGAACGAGAGAACTTTGTACAGGTTAAATGTGCGTTTTCGCAGTTTCAAAGGAAAGTTTTAAGCTGCAAAAGACTAATTGATTTGGGAAAAAATAGTAAAGGTATTGTCATCTCTTTAAAAATATGTTATTAAAAGGCTTTTATCGTATTACAATTGTTGAACGTGTAAAAAAAGCAAAAATATAATTGCTCCTACAAGGCCTGTGTTATTTTTCCCCCAAGTTACTATATACATCGTGAGAGTCACGTGACCTTTTGGAACCCCAATATGGAGAGAAAGGTTAGAAATATATAGATATCTACAGTGTACTTTATTTTTTAGGTCAACATAGACACTTGGATTTTTTTCTTTTTTCCTTATTTTACAACCATTCTAACAAGTGGTGCATACGAGTATAACAGCTCTGCATTGCTGTGTTATTCTGCATACATATGCTACCGTTGTTGGCATATTAAAAAACTGCCTCAGATTTTATTGTGATATCAATCACTTCCCTGCCAATAAGGACATCTTATTTTACATAAATTTCGAATTATCAGGCCACAGTTGGAAAAATGCACTAAAGAAATTAATTTCTTAGAAATGCGAGCCAAATGAGTAAAAGCCGAATCTTGAACTCATGAGCATGTGTTACAAAGCCCCAAGCTACATGAACCGCAGCCTAAGCCACTGCTCTACGCTGGCCACGACACTTGGACTAGGTAACTACTGCTTATCTGATGTCGCGGTAGTTACCGCGACATCAGATGACAGAATGTTTTAATTGTGAGATGAGAAAATCTAAACAGGTAATTAATAAGCATGTAAAAAGAGCTACTTAGTTTTTAAATTTTGTGTTTTTATGGGATGCTGAAACAGATATGAAGGTTTAAGATAATTAAATTAAGGACGTTTATCACAGTTAGAGGAGAAATGTAGAGAATGCAGTGAGGCAGGAGCGAGCATGCAGCAGCGCCGGCAACTGTTTTGAATGCAATTGTATACCTATATGTAGGCGTCTGACACTTTTTTTTTATTTAACTGCAAAAGTAACTTGTCGATCTCTCTGAAAATTGAGAATAAGACCAGTATTATGGTATTGCATCATGCAAAAAAAAAAATTAGAAAAATTCTACATACCATTTTCTTATAAATTTCATTTTTATGTAACTCCACCATAAGGTTACGTATTAAATTGCAGTTTTTTCAACATTCAATATTTAAAAAACGATGTTGTGAAACTATCTCAAATTTTACACGTGACTTTCTCACATCATTACGAGCATCCTGTTGAAATGTCAGGAAGATCATATAGAAAACGCTATGTGTGATTAACGTCCTCAAGTATCTTAGTAGTGAAAACAAGTGTGTTTTTACAAAACAAGTAATCTACACAGCGAAAATCACTTAGTCAATTGACTGAGCGGATTCGATTAAGTATGCAAGAGCGAAAGAGAGGTCAGTTCTCCTCGTCTCTCTTTCTCTTACGTGCTGCAATTGGGATCGGCCCTTGAGAGCCTTCTCTCGAAACTTCGGAATAACGCCACACTGTGTAAGAATAGAAAAGTTGATGGCGCTGATAGTCACGAGCCTTCTCTTGTCGTGTTTGAAACTCGCCACTTTATGGAGATTAACCTAGGACAGCGGCGCTAGTGCTGTGGAGTCGATCCCAATACACAATCAAGTAAAATTTAAAAACAAAATTGCTCTAATTACATGGATATTAAATACTAATTGAGCTTCTCTTATCTCTCAATTAAAGAATATATCCACGAGATGGCACGGGCGTTTCGCAGTATAGGTAGTAACCTAGTCCATAGTGGAACATATTTCAATCACCTTTACAGGATATCACTAACCTTTGGACGTTTATAATTTTAATACAGCGCTCTCAACTAAGAAACTTGTAAGCGTTAGGCTTTTCTTAGCACATTATTGTTTTTAACAATATAAATACTAGCCAAAGACAAACACACACATATGCTAAGCAAAGCCAAACGTTTACAACTTCCTAAATTCTTAGATTGCAACTTTAAATCTTTGTAAATTCACCCAATCTGTTGTGCTGGATACCTTAATTTTTAATGTGTAGGTTTCACATACTAAGTGTAAATAACTAATGATAAAAAAATAAACATTTTATCAACATAATACTTTTAAAATAATTTTGTGTTTTAATAAATATTACCATAAAAATAATCTGATGATAAATATACTTATTAATCATAAAAATTGTGTTTGATTTGTAGCTTGCACATTCAGCCATAAACATTTACCTTAATAAAAGATAAAACTGTAAAATTTAGTACATACTTTTTCAAAAACCAAATCAATAACTCCCTGCAATCTTTCTTGAGTGTCTATTTGTAATTCACGAACTTGATTAACTAAAGTATCGAACTTTTGTGGAGTTAATTTGTTAAGAACACTGCGAACTCTTTTGTAAAGAGCTTCAGTTCTACTTAGTTCCTTGGAGACTGATGTCGGCATAAGTCTTGTGGGTTTCCATGCATTTTCAGTCTCTCTCAATTTTACATCTTCACGTAAAGAAAGAGATACATGAATCACACTAGGCTTGGCTACTTTTATTTTTCCTGAATGACTTTTTTTGGCTGGAGGTAGCTAAAACATCAAGAAATGGTAAAATTATTAATAAGTATAAACAAAAATTTACCTAAACAGTATTCAACAGAAGAGACTTTTTTAACAATCACAATCAATGAACTCACAACTTTGGCACTTATGGAAGTCTTAGCAAATCCTGGAAAAAGTGCCTCATGGCGATTGGGGTAAACTTCTTTTGATTTTTGATCTACAGAGTTACGATTTTTGGTAATTTCTTTTAGTACAACATCTAGATCCGGTAGATTCCTAGGTTTTACTTTACTGTTAGGATCGTCTTGCAGTTTCATTAGGAAATCTCTATCATAAACTTTTTTTCCGCTGGTATTTATCGGGCTCCACTGATCATCAGAGTATGAATATTTAAGAGGAAAAGTAGATTTCATAGCAGGTATTGTTGTGGCTGAAATTAAATTCAAAGTTTCCAAACATGAGTTTAAATCTTTACATGTTTTGGAAAGACCTGAGACAACATCATTTTCATTATTTTTTAGAGTAACAGCAGAAAACATTGTTTCTTGATCTATTTCATTTGCATCATTTATAATATTATCTGATATACTTGTACTTTTCCGTGATGTATCTTTGCTATTTATTTGCAAAAGCTGGCCTACACTAGAGAGACTTTGTTCCTTGACCTCTCTTAGAGTAGTGTTGCTGACTTCTACAGTTTCATTACTCGAAATGTTTTGTTCCCTTTTTGATTCATAATTGTCTTTGTCTTTGACATCTTTTTGATGTTTATTGGATTCTTCAGGATCACTATTTTTTGATGAAACGTCTTGAGATGTTTTGGTTTTAATTAAAGAGGTACTATCGTGTGTTTGCTTAACAGATACATTCATTTCAGATGAGTCTTTGTTAATACCTTTGCGATTTGAATCTTTTGATTTAACTTTATTTTTACTCTTCTGTTTCTGCAAAGGAACTTGATTATTAAATTTTTATAATGGTATTAAATAATTATAAATAAATATTTTAATTTACATCCTAGCGATAGTTGTAACATGCAATTTTTCAGTTTAGAATAGACTGTATGAGAATTACGTTATTTATGGGTAACCAATATTATAATTTTTCATGAATGAAAAACCAATGGGAAAAAATTTGACTTTCTACTGAAGCACTGACAACATAAGTGCATGAAAATTAAATTATTAAATTGATCACAAGAACAACGTGTTATAGGATGAGTTAACTTATGAGTCAAGTTCAGATTTTTCAAAATAAGTATTGAAGTACATGTAATGAGGATTAATGGGATTACTTCAATATACATAATAAACATTCTGCTTTTAAGGTTTCATACAACTTTAACTTTTTTAAATCAAGTTAGGTATTTTGTTTAAATAAATGTTTTGCAACTTTTTTCATACAATGCACTACATAATACAAGAGAACAAATTTTCAATCATTGAAAGTAACTAATATTCTTACTTATTTGCTTTAGTTAATCGCACTAAGCAGAAAAAAGTTAGATGTCGAACAATGGTCACATTTCAACTTTCTCAAGACAAATGTTTAGTAATGCTTAAGTAAATCAAGATTATTAATAATAAACTTGAATGTCTGTAAAATAATTTATAACAAAATACCATTGTTGATGAGTCTACTATAATGTCTTAGATAACTAGGATTGCGCATCACTTGGGATTTAATATGCGTTCCTTAACATTAAGTAGATGATTGGTGATTTCCTTAACTTTTTCAGTACTTTACTAAAAAAGCTCGTAATAAAAGGACTCTATCTCCATTGCTCAATAATAAAACGGATACTATTGACCATGCAATATAGTTAGGAAATTATCAAGTCACTTTTTTCAGATATTGCTGTAAATTGTGGAAAACGTTACAATATAATAACTGAAGCCACAATTGCTAAGAAAGAAGTTAACTACCTGTACCAGGTTGTTAAATGTGTGCACAGACCTTAAAGAGTCAATTTTCATAACAGTTTGTAACACAAATAAAAAGATGCAAAGCAAAAATAGTGTGGGACAGAGGGAGAAAGAAAACACGTGGAAGCAGCTGCCTGCCTCTTCAATATGGCTGTAAAAGCACGTGTTTTTGGTGATTTGATTCATGTAATAACAAAACAGGCACAGAACTTAACCACTTTTAACAGATGTTGGCGATTATTAATTGCAATGTATAACCATTCTTTTTTTTTCTTTGCACTTGCCTGTTTAGGTTTTCACAAAATATCAATCAATGTTACATAAGGCCCAAAATAATGAGAATACCACATGATGTACCTTTTAAGAGATTTTAGTATTGATCCAAAAATTCTAGTTTTTTGTTTGATTTTTATTCTACCTCAATATCGAGCAAGAAAAAGTAGTCTAAAGAAATAAACATATAAGTATCAAAAACGACATTTTGCAAGGTTGTAAAAATAGATGAATGACATATATGCTTACAAGTTTTAGTCACAAACTACACTCCAACAGTATGCACACAAGAGTTAGATGGTTATAGAGTAATAGTACAGAATACATGAAAAAGCTTAACTCTCTATAAAAGAAATAGGGGAAGAATATCGGTAGAAACCGTCACAATTCGGTTGCAATCGTTGAATTGACATTACATATGCAATAAATTGTTCAAGTTGGACTTCTTATTTGGATAATAAAAATTTTAAACATGAGAACTTTTAACAAAAACTTATTACACATTTGAAAAAGTTCAGCCCATTGTTGACATCAAAATGTAAATACTCATGTACCATATTCTAATTTAAGGCCATACATTTTAACCCTGCGGCTTTTCGCACCAAATCAACTTTAATACATAAATATGAAAATAGCTATATCAACGTTTAGGTCGATGTACGGCTTATAATATCCATGTAAATAATAATACTACCCTCGCGCCACCTCAGGTGTTATCTGTACTGTATAATATCCAAGTATTTACGTGTATTTGATGCAAATAGACCCAGCGAAACTTTAAATCCAATGTAATCGTACTTTTGGCTCTATACAAAGTAATAAATTACTTTTTGGATACAATACTTGACTTTGAATATGTTTAAAAGAAAATGTTGTTTAACGTATCATCAAAACTTTCAACAAAGGTACACTGATATGATAATAAGTAAGACAATACACCAGGTAATGGAAGCATTTATTAAAAATTTTTTGTTTATTGGACTAACAGAAACATATAACAACGAAAATTACTGAGATTCACTATTAATCATGACCATTACCAAAATTTACTAGTCATCACCTTTGAAACATGCTTTTTAAACAGTCTATCAGATTATCAGTTGTCTAACCTTTCTGATACAACCGACAGGTTCGATCAAGCAATTTTGGGGAGACTATGCAAGTCACCGAAAATGGAATTAACAAGTGTTTTTCCCCCAAATATCTCCGAGAAGCTTAATAGACCAAGAGCTCAGGTCCGAGAGTGGTTAAAAATCTAAACTAGCCGCTACTCTCACGAAGGTTGAAGAACCTTGTGACTCGTTGAGATCCGAAATATATTTCATTCTGGTGGGAAATTGTGTGGTAATTATGATAGTGCCGTATGGTCAATTTTGAAAACAAGCCGCAACTTAGACCAACAGATAGACGTAACTATTAGCCCAAGTGCAATTTGCGCCAAGATTAAAAATTTATCTTCTACCCAAAAATCGGCCAACAGAAATATAGATTTCTTTTTGTATTAGGTTCTGACCTCGTAAGAGGTATGAACCACAAATAAAGATACATAACCATATAAGAAATATACAATTATCATTCTCATGTATGCACTGAAGCATGAGTAGAAAGAGATATAGCACTGAGCGTGGGTATCTGTCTCTCTCGCACATTGACAACGATGGAGCATTAGTTAACTAACTCTGGCTAATGCAACCTCCCCACCGTTAGCAATGTGCGAGAGAGACAGATTTCTGCGCTCAATGCTGTGTCTTTTTTTACTTGTGCTTCAGCACCATACATAAGAACGAGCAGTCTATTTCTTACATATCTATGTATAGATGTTCTAATTTTATCTATAATCTTATCTACAAAGCCAAAGCTTTTATCTCAGTACTAGAGATAAAATCAGCGTTAAATGAGCAGCGCGGAAAAGTAATTTCCCCCACTTTATTGAATCCGAAAATTTCTGGAACTTTGATTTTAGATATTAATTATTCTAAAAAAAACCAACTGACTAAGTTGTAGTTTGGTTTTGCTTTTGTGCAGGGAACCCGTTTTATTAAAGATCGATTTTTGGATAGAAGATAAATTATAATCTTGCCGTAAATGGCCCTTGGATAGAACAACTTTTTAAATTCTATCCGTTGGTTAACGTTGAGGCTAATTTATAAACTACAATTACCACGTTACTCTTCACCGGAATAAAATATGATGAAAATATTTCAGATCTCTACGAATCATAGGGTTCCTTAATACTGGTGAGTGGCGGCTGGTTTAAATTTCGATAACCCTCGGACCTTAGGTAGTTCTTAGTTTATAACCATTGAGATATTAAAAGTAAAGAAGGCCAACTATACGGTCACCAGTAAGAGGAAGCGTTCACTCGGTAAAAAGAGAAATAAAACCCGATGGGTCTTGCATCTCCCTCGCACCTCTCCATTAATTGAGCTATTGGCTAACTGCCTAAAAAATTTTCAATAAACTGGCTGTAAGTGTGAGCTTCTAGAGCTAATCAACAGAGAGGTGCAAAACTTGTCCAGTTTTCTTTCTCTATCTACCAAGTGGACAGCATTGAGCCGACCACTGTTAGTACAGGGCCCGGAGCAAAAAATCAGTGATTGTTCAAGATCTCGTTCCAGAGAGGCTTTTCACCGTGATAAATAGAAAAAAAGTGGGATTTCGGAAAAAAAAATTTCTGATTTTTCAATAATTAATTACTCGGCTTCAATACATTCTAAATGAACCCTCAAAAGCTTAAATTGTTGGATTTTGTATCCTTTACGTGTGTTTTTTTTTTAAATAAACAAGTTATGAAAACTTTTTGAGAAAATCGAGAAAGTTTAAAAACACGTGCTTCGGAAAAATGCTTCCCGATCGGCGAAAACCGACCGAATGATGAAAATACGGGTATGTATGTGTGCAAAAAGACTTACTCTACAAACTTATTGCTAAATCGTTTGCAAAATCATCCAATAAAGTCCTTAACAAAGCATTTGAAATATCGTCAATTTAGCGTGTGCGGCAGCTCGACGAGCGAGCGTCGGGAAAGGGTAATGTGGTAGGGGGACAGCCAAAGCAGAGAGCAGCGACGACAGAGTACAGCAACAATCTGAAAAAGACTTTATTGGATGATTTTGCAAACGATTTAGCAATAATTTTAAAAAGTGAGTGTTCCTTAACACATACGTATATTTATCGTTCGGCTGGTTTTTGCCGATTGGCAAGCATTTATCCGAAGCACCTGTTTTTATACTTTATCGGTTTTCTCGAAAAGATTTTATAAATTGTTTGTTTAAAAAAAAAAAAACAGGCGAAGAACACAAAAAACAAACAATTCAAGTTTTGGAGGATACATCGAGGATGCATACAAGCCAAGTATTTAATTATTGAAAAATAGCAATTTTTCGCCATTTTTAATTTTTTACGTAGAAAGCTGTTGTTCGCTTTTGATTGTTAAAAACTCGAATTTTTTTGTTCTCAAGCTCTACATGACGATATTTATTGTCATTGGTTGATACATTAATTGAAGCCGTTTTAGTGCAAAAAGTGGTTTTTGGCACCTTTCCGATCAAATTTTGAAAGGTTCCTACACACCAATTTTTTCCGAATAATTTTTTTCCTATTCACCACAGTAAAATTCCTCTTTGATACGAGATTAAAAAGAGAAGCCACAAAGCCTATAACATGGACGCTTTTCAAGATTACTTAGACCCTTTCTTTATAATATCTCTCTCCAGTGCTCCCGAGAGTGGAATCCAAAGTAACGC